TACATTATTATAACATCTTGCATTGGATTCACATTTAAACATTTATAAATCTATTTTTATTTCAAAACTGTTAGTCGTAACTTCTCCATTGAAATCTCATTTATAAATTTTTCAATGTATTTCTAATCACACGCTAAAAAATATTTCTGTCTATTAAAACAACATTTTCTTTTGACATAAAGTGGAGAGTAAGCAAAAGTTTGTAGTATTATTTTCTTGTGAATATTAGTTTTTATAATAATTTTAAGTGTTAGTATATTTTCATTTATTAAAACAACATAAAATGTACTGTGAATATGTTAAATGTAAATTTAGATTTTCTTTAGTTTTAGTACGAATATGACAGTTCAGTCGAGATTCACTTAAGTAAATAAGTTTAGATTTATGTTATACTTTGCATAAATTTTATTTCTTAAACAAAATTTTGATTGAAGAAAGAATCCTAATCTAATAATATGTTTAGATTTATTTGCTTTATTTTCTTCTTTTGAAGATTATTTAGTTTTTAACCTCTTTTTCATTTGCTTTAGTTTCTTCTTTTGCTCTTAATTTGATTAGGATTTTTGTTTTTATTGGTTTTCTTGTGTTTTAATGTTTGGGTGTGTTTTGATGAACTTAAGATCTTTTATTGCGGGTCATTCATTGCTTAGGCACAGACCAATGTGCGTCAAGGAGTTGTTTGAATTTTGTGAAAGAGTCTCTAGTCATTCACAATCTTACTAATGTGGAAAAAGAAAACTTGATTTGAATATAAAAGCATATTTGATTACCATTTTGAAAACAATTTTCTGCTTTTATTTTTAAAGAGTTGTTTTGAAAACTTGTACTAAAATTTATTTTTAAAAACAGAAAATTATTATCAAAACAGTAATCAAACATTTTTTTTTTCATTTTTGGTGATTGGGGGAGGGGATATGAAAATATGCTAGAACTCAGAATTTGAACTTGGATTATGGTGCTTATGTCCTGCTACCTTTCATCCCTGAACTATCAATGCAAGGAATTGAAGCCCATAGCTATCAAAGGGTTGTATTTGGTAGGTTATTTAGGAATTAAAGCCCATAGCTGTCAATTTGGAGCAGAAAAGAGAGGACCCACTGAGATGTGAAAAAAGAGGATTGGGATTAGATTTCTGAATTCATGTTTTTCTCACCTATTATACTTGTGTTTTTCATTTTGTAATGGATGGTCATACTTCTTTTATCTATGACTTGAAGGACTTTTTGTAATTGTGATGTAATTAATGCTTAGAATGAATTAGCTACTCACATCCTATTTTAATGAAACTTCTTTACATTAAAAAGATTGGTTATACTTCTTGATTAAGCTTCAAGCTTTGACTTTTTTTGGAATAGAATTTCTTAGGTGTGATTTTTTTGATTTATTATGTTTTAATATCTTGTGCTTGTATATAATTAATTTTGGATTTAACAAATTTGTATTATATTTTACTTTTAAAAACAGAAAAATATTTTAAAAATAGAAATCAAACATGCTCTTAATATCTTGTCTTTTATATCAAAAAATTAGATATAAATTATTTTAGTAAAAATATACCGTAGAAGTCAAGAAAAATTGGCTATTGAAATTTTTTTATATTACTTGCATATTTTAATTTATAGAGATCTCTTCAATTCAAATTACACTCAAGTAGGTAGATTTTAGTTAAAAAGTACACGTCAAATTAATTCTTCATAAAATGATACTCTATTTATCATTTGATTACTTGACACATAAACTTTGCTTAGTAATTGTCAATATTTTCTAAATCCATATGACATCATTAATTTCAACAAAGATACAAATCATTTACTTATATGAACATCTTTGAATTGCAACTCAAATCATGTGTGATTGTAATAGTTATCCTGTTATCAAATAAGTCAAGTAATAATTACTATAGTTAGTGAGTTTCTAACTTTATAATAGTTTGTTATTTTTTATCAATGACTTGTATATAAATATTTTTTACTTTGTATGTCAGAACAACTTTGTCTCTGAAATACAATATTTAAATTCATCAAAGGTCCTGCTCCAAAGAATGTTGCTACTATTTAATATGGAGCTCTGTTGTGTATTGTTATTTATTTTTTTATTTCTTTTCTTAGGAAAGATATTAATTCTTCAATTTCATCCTAACCTTTTTTTTCTCTGTAACAGAAAGTTGTTTTTGTTGTGTCTTTATCAAATTTTGGCACGGCAAATTAAGGAATGGATCCATTGAGCTCCTATTACATGCATGCAAATGAAAATCCAGGTGCAATCATTGTTTCAACTCCACTTATAGGAGAACATGACCATTCATGGTCAAGAGCTATGATGATTTTGAAATCAACGAACAAACACCAATTAATTGATGGAACTCTACAGAAACCTCATTTCCGTGATCCCATGTATGGGGCATAGGATAGATGTAACACAGTGGTACTATTTTGGTTAAATCAATCTATTGATCCTTCCATTATTCTGTGTTCTTTGGATGAAAACTGCACTAAAGGTTTGGAATGATCTGAAAGAAAGGTATTATCAAGGAAATATTTTTTGAATCGGAGTTATAAGAGAGTTATATTCATATGAGCAAGGTGATATGTCAGTGATTGCGTATTTCATTCACTTGAAAACAATGTGGCAAGAACTTGAAAATTTTAGGCCCAAACCAGTTTGTAAGGTTTAGACACCTTGCACAAGCGATCTTGTAGAAACTATAAAGGGATATAGAGAAAATGATTATGTCATTAGATTCTTGAAGAGACTAAATGAAAGTTACTCTATTGTGAGTCATGTTGATGCAACCTCTTCCCACCATAAAAAAAAAAGTATTTTCATTGTTAATCCAGCAAGAAAGACAATTAGGGATACATGTAGAACAACCAAAGAATTTGTACAATGCAATTGACATTGGTAAAGAAAGAGGAAGGGAAAGAAATTCTAGAGAACAATTTTCAAACTCAATGGGGAGAGGCTATAAAAGTCAAGGTCAAGGATACTAAACTTGTTTATATTGCAACAAAACAGGTCATACAATTGAAACACGTTACAAGAAACAAGACTTTCCTCCTAGCTACCAAAGAAATGGTAACGTGAATTGCACAATGGTGGAAGAAGAGGAAGTTGAAGACAACAAAGTGACTGCACATCATAAAGATAGTCAAGCATCCTTTATCAACTACTTTGACATATAAACAGTTATCAGACTCTAAATTATTCTATAGTCTTGTCAACAATTGCAGAACTGAAATCCTACAAAGAAGCCATGAGAAATGAATGCTGACAGAAAGTTATACAAGCTGAGTTGGAAGCACTTCAGAAAATCAGAACATGGACATTAACATTTTTACCCATTGGAATGCAAACTATATGATGCAATTGGGTGTTTAAAATCAAACACAAACCTGATGGATCAATGTTAAAACACAAAGAAAGACTTGTAGTGAAAGGTTATACTCAAACTTAAAGAAATGATTACATGAAACCTTTAACCCAATTGTTAAAATGATGACTAAGAATCGTTTTATCCCATGCTGCAGCAAAAGAATGCCATCTGCATCAGTTAGATGTGAACACAAACTTTCTACACAATGATCTTCACAAAGAATATACATGGATCCTCCACCATGACTCACTTCCTGACAAAATTTGGTTTGCAAATTGCAGAAATCGTTATATGAATTAAAGCAAGCTAGCAGACAATAGAATGAGAAGCTCACTAGCACCGTAATTTCGTGTGGCAATATACAATCTTGAGCAAACTACTCTTTATTCACAAAGTCAATTACAACTAATTCACTGCAATTCTGATCTACAAAGATGATCTTTTGTTTACAGGAAATGACTTGAATGAAATAAATTGTCAAACAGGAATTAGACAAACATTTCCACATCAAAGACTTGAGCAAATTGATTTTTATTTTTTTATTTTTTGCTGGAAGTAACTACATCATCCAAAGGCATTAATTTATAACAAAGGAAGTACACCTTGAACTTAGTTCAAGACACTGGACTTTTGGCAACAAGCCATGTAACACTCTGATGTATTCAACCTCAAAGCTTCGCAAACATTCAAGCTTTCCATTTCTTGACATTTCATCATATAGAAAACTGAGAGGGAGATTGCTATATTTGAGACCTTGAACTCAAAAGATTCAGTGATTTTTACTAGGTATCTTGTTTAGATATAAGAAAATATGTTTTTTTTTTATTGAAAACTTTAATATCTTTGAAGAATAAGAAACAAATCACTATATCTAGATCATCATCAGTGGCTTGAGTATAAAGCTCAAGCAACTTGTGAAGCTCAACGGATCATGTATTTTCTTCAAGATTTCCATATCAAATGCGCACTCTGCAGTTTTGTATTGTAATAATCAAGTAGTCCTTCACATAGCAGCTAATCTAGTATTTCATGAAAGGACAAGTACATAGAACGGGACTGTCATATTTGTGACAAAGTACAAGATGGAACCATTTAACTACTTCCCATTTCCTCAAAATCTCAAATTGCAGAGATCTTGACAAAACCCTTAGGTACTAGTCCTTTTAGACATCTTAAATCCAAGCTTAGAATGTTAGATATCCACGATCCAACTTGAAGAGAGGTATTATTGTAATAGTTAATCTTGTTATCAAATAAGTAATAATTACTGTAATTAGTTTCTAACTTCAGAATTGTTTGTTATGTAAGTTAATTATTTTCTATCGATGACTTGCATATAAATATTCTCTGCTGTATACATTAAAACAACATTTTTTCTTAAATACAATACTCAGATTTATCAAAAGTTACTTAAAATGTTGAGTAAAATGTCCACCAAATGAACCAACCCCGTGTATGTGCTGAATAAGAATAGTCCACTGCAAACGACACTTTCTACTTTTCAATAAAATTTTCCAATAATATAATGAAAGATGATGCTTTACTTCAGAATGATAGCCATGACTCAAGAAAAGGAAATTCAAAGTTCACCAGTTACAAGGTAAAAAAAACGGTTCGATAATATGTAATAAGCAATGTAAAATAATCAATACCTTTTCTTTTGTGTAAAAATAGTATACAACTTATTCAATATTTTATAGGTTGCTCCAATCTTTCTTTCAAGAGCAATATAGCATTGGAAAGAATGTTTTAAAACATATGAAAACAAAAGAATGGATCAGAGAAAAATTGATGGCATACAAATAATGTGATTGTCAATTACAAATTAGAAACTATGCACCCTTTTGGCTAACCCATGGTTTGATGACACCAACAACGATTATTATAATAACGATGAGAAGTATAATGATAGCAATGCACATCCATTTTCTAGAGTTCTTCTGTAGTTTCTTTGCCTTCTGGAGGGCATTGTTGCCTTGTTGCACGTGGTCCACCGCACTTGAAACCTGATGCAAGAGTACAAACCAACTTTGGTCACAAACAATTTCTTTAAGGAATTCGCATATAGGTACATAGATAAATAGAGAGAAAGAGTGGACGTGTAGAAAAAAAGAAGATGAAACCAACAAATTTGACTATATAATTATAAACACAATGGTCAAGGTATGCTCTCTCTCTCTCTCTCTCTCTCTCCATGTGTGCGTGTTTGGAGGAATTGATTTACACTGATATAAGTACTATACTCACTCTTACTGTCTTACATCATCAATAACTTACTACTTTATTATAACTATGTACTATAGAGATTAAAGGTTATTTGGGTCAAGTCTTAAAAAGAAATAAACTGCAAAAAGAAGTTAATCAAATGGATCTTATTTTTATATATTTTAAAAGAATATATTAAGTTTGATGTATGTCAATGAAATATCAAATAATTTTAGATTAATTTAAAATTTTGCAGATATGATTAATAGGATAGAATTTTTTAATCCAATGATCGGTTTAGAAGTATAGTTACCTGATAAAAAGAATTACAGAATGGTAAAAAAAAATAAAAATACCTGTGATTCTATGTTGTCAAGCATGTCTCCTTGTGCATCAACCAACACCGCAATATCCATAAATATCTGTCAAGACATGAAGTTATTATCATCCAAACTAGATATCAATCTCTCCCTACACACATCTTGTGTGTGCCTATCTCTACCTACACACATCTTGTGTTCTAATTCACTTTGAGAATAAATTGCACTCTTTTCATAGAGCACCCTTGCAAATTTTAGCTTTCCACAGGGCTAGCGCTGTGATATATTATATGGCTCCCCATCTCCCTTGTATGGACCACTAGCACAAAAACGTGCATAAAAATTATCATAAAAAAGATGGAGAATGCATATGAATTGGAAAGATGAGAGGTATTCTACCTATCCTAAACAGCAAAACTGTAACAGGAAATTCCTTCAGAGATGAAGTGAAACCATAAGTTTTTATTGTATGATATGACTAAATCTATCTTCATATGAATAAAGCATAAAAAATATTTTCCTGTTCAGAATAATCTCTCTGAAAACCATAACTCTAGGCATTCATCCCCCCAATGGTTTTATAGCATAGGCCTTTATCATACATAAACTTGTCCTTATCAGGATATTGTCCAAAATTGTAGAGCTACAATATCAGTCAAATTAATGAAACAAACTGATTTATACCTGTTGTAAATCAAGAAGCTTTCTCTCAACATCTCTAACTGCTTCATGTCGCTCTTGAATTTCTGCCAAGGTGTCAATTATCTAAAAAGATAACTCAAATGTATGAGAAGTGTATAGAGATCACAGACAAGATAAGGGGCTGCTTGGTTTTAGGAAATGTTTTCTGGCTTTATTTTCTATTTTCACTTTTAATTACAAAATCGCCACTTTGTTTTCATTTTGTTTCTTGTTTTCAAAGGTTTGCATAGGAAAACATCAGAGACAATTTTTTCCAGTTTTCACCGTTTTCTGTACATATTTTTTAAAATATGAAATAGAATGAAAACAAAGTGACAATTTTGTAATTAAAAGTAAAAACAAGAAAATGAAAATAGAAAATGTTTTCTGCAACCAAACAGCCCTTAAACTTTCTAATATTATGTCATTGGCCTATTGCCCAAGGAAGATCAATGTTTCTCACCCCTCCCTAGTCCCGAAAAGATAAATTATGCAGAAAAATATTGAAAATGTATGTATGATGGAGGGTTGAGTGAATGATATTCATGTTGATATAGGATAACATAAAAACTTGAACAGGAATTTGAGGAAGAATTGAAGGAGAAAGCAAAAGGGAAAGGAGGGATGAACCTGGCCCCGTCCTTGTTCCCGGATTGCCTTCTGGAAAATTTGTTCACTATCTCCAGTTTCAATTAATCTGTCAATTGTCTGTACATTGTTAAATGATTAGAAGGAAAACTTCTAAAAGAGGTGTTTCTTCTATTAATGAAAATTAAGAAAAGAAAAAATACCTCCTCATCAGCTCTTGTGCCAGTAACTAACAATCGCGATAACCAGAGAATAAATTGAAATTAACTCCATTTCAACAAAAAATCATGCTATCAGATCATGAAATTGAAAACAATCACTAATAAGCAAACAACTCAAACCTGTAAAAACACGTCTCTCAACAACATCTCGATATTCTTGATGGATAGCTTCTCTTAGGGCCTGCAAAGGTTTTGAAAAATGGATTCAGTTGAAGGGAAGGAGCACTAAAAAAAAAGAAAAAAAACTCCAGCAAAATGCTACTAGACAAACCCACCTGAAATTCTGCCACCTTATCCTTCAGTTTCTTTTTTAATGAACTGTAAAATACCAGAAAAAAAAAAAAAGGTACTGATGAGATTAGTCCAATAAAACATTTAGCCAAAAATAATGAAAAAAAAAATGATAATTCAGAAACACACAAGTGTAATATTTGTTTAAAAAACCCTGAGGTTTACTCCATATGATTCAGCATACATAACGTATTGATACAAGTTGAAAGACAAGGACTGAAAATGTGGAAAATTTTATAGTAAGTTAGACCATAAGCCCTTGACAGCATATTAACACAACTTTTATTTTATTATTATTTATGGATAATGAATAAGAAGCTCTGTCACAGAATTTCCTATTACAAATTGGGTTCATAATATAAAGAAGTTTACATTGAAATTCTGCATTTAGATTGAGATGACAGCTTCTTCCCTTACTCTTGAGTTACTCTTACTCCTTTCAAGCATTTCTTAGTTTCACTATCTTATTGATGTTTTTCAATATCTATAACTATATTTAATGAGATATATTCATATTGATGATTGAATATAATCCAAGATGCCAAGGATAAGAGAATATTTAGAAGTCCAAAAGGACTAGAAATTTAGTTGCCTTAGAAGTGGAATATTGATATTGAAGACTCTCTTATAGACTCGTATTTATCAAGAAAAACTTTCACAATCAAAATGATTATATCTTTGTGCTGCAAAAGAATTTGAGAAATGAACATTTGAAAAACTTGAAAGCAGAGACAGAATTATATACATTAAACTACAAATACAATGAGAAACAATCAATAAAGCTAGTCGAAGTTATGTGACAATAATAATGAGAAATAAAACTTGGATCATTACTGACATGGTTGTTGCTGTTCTTGACCGGTCAACACCTGATCCTTTTCCACACCCAGGCTTCTGCCTGTTTGCCAAATTCTACAACATAAAATGGAATGAGGAGATTTACAACGAAGAATCTAGGGATTGAATAAAACAATGAAAGAAATTCAGTAGAGACACCTCTTTGTCCAGTTCTTCAATTTTGTTCTTTAAATAATGTGCAGTTTTCTGAACTTCATCAACATCTTTCTCCATTCTCTGCTTTATAGCTGCAGCCAATCAGTTAAACACTCATGAACTTCATTTATATCATCAAAACATCTACCTTCAAATATATCCTTTCAACAGAAGGGCAATTTAACATCTAGAACCAGTCCTCTTCAGAAAATTCTTTTTCATATCTTTAGAAACTTGGATTTAAATTAAATCACTCTCAAAAGTTAGTTCATAGGAGGAGGACTATCCAAGTCCTTATAAGAAATATTCTAGCTCTATTCCAAGTCATTGTGGAACATTTTAACACGTCACCTCACACCAAGAATTGGACATGGGTGTGTGAAGTTTGCAAGACTCAAAATCTGCAGATGGCCCAATAGGACAGAACATTTATGGGCAACCCAACATTCAAACTGGATACGCTTTGACACCATGTTAGAAAACTTGGATCTAACTCACTCCCAAAAACTAGCTCATAGGAAGAGGATTACGCAAGCTCTTGTAAGAAGTATTCTAACGCTATTCCTAGCCAATGTGGAGCATCTTAACAAATTTCATAATTACAAACTATATAAAATACTTACTTGAAAACTATATATTTCTCTATTACAAGTATATTTAATTTATATTTTACAATAAAAAAGCATCAATAATACCTACAAGAAATATTCCGATAAAGATTGAATGAGTCACAAGAGGACTAGTAATTTCTACATTTATACATCTCACTAAAATATTTTATTTAAAATATAAATATCTCTCTCTCTCTCTCTCTCTATATATATATATATATATGTGTGTGTGTGTGTGTGTGTGTGTATGATAGGAGGGATGCATGACTCTAATTTTATTATTATTATGTTGATTAAACATAAAATAATAAAAGAAATTATTGAGTCATGATTTATCTAGCCGATCTCACCTAGTGAGATAAAACTTGATTGTTGTTATTTTATGTTAAGTAAAAAGACAAAAAAAGGACAATGAAACATGCAAAAGATTGCGTGAGAAAACATAAACAAGATTATACTAACTCTTCATGGCAGGAGCCTTTGTCACAGATTTGGACTCATCATGGGCATCCTGCATCAAGATTTACATAAAAATGCTGAGGACAAATTTCAAGTAATTTTTACTTCATAATATAAACCAAAAAGGAAGCACAATGACTTTAGCTAATTGGACAAAACATGTAATATTTACTTAAGGTTCTAGTTCTACTCTAACAAAATTCCAAAACAGAAGCAAAATTTGATTCTTTGTTTATTCCTGTTAAATTTGGACTGCAAGCCTAACTGGCTAACTCAACAAACCCCTTCATGCTCAAGATTGGAAATCTAGACTAGAGCATGGAAATTGCAGAACTAATTTATTTTTTTTAATATTGCACTTGAAAATCAGTGGGACCAGGTAGATAATAGCACTGGAAAAGTCGCAAGACTAGGTAAGTTACACGGGAAAATCCACTAGGCCAGGTTAATTGTACTAGAAAAATTTGTGAGGCCAGATTTTACTTTTTTTTTTCAGTCAAGAGTGACCCAATATCAAATCTACAATAAGCTTTGATAACATATTAAAGTTGGGCTTAAGCCTAACTCAACCCCAATAGCTAGTTCATAAGATGAGGATTATTTTAGTTTTTATAAGCTCTTATTTAGCCATATCTGAAATCAATATAGGACTTCAACAATTCCTATTTCTATTTTCTCAATCAGTTCTGTTAGAATTGGTCTCAGTCTGAAAGGAAGAATGAATGTTATTGAATAAGAACAGTCATAACCACTGCCGATATAGCAGAGAATTAGGGTAAATGAATACACTGAATTGACTCTTCTTCTTCGAGAGGCCAGACTCTCCTATCATTAACTGAGTAAATAAGACTACATTTAATGTGATAAATGGCCCTTATTTATAATCTGTGCCTAATCTGTTATGAATTGTTATCCCTTCCATCCTTCTTATTTTTCCTTCATAGACCTGTGTAATTTGGGGGCCTCTCCCTTATAGATTGATATGAAAGTTGACTAAAATGGAGAGACAATTCACTAAGATGGTTAATCTGCTGTTAGATGAGCCACAGCAAAACAATCTCATTTTTAGGGAGGCCGTGTACAGTTAAAAATATATCACACCTCTATTGCTGACTTCTTTATTTATCATATTTTTGTGACATAACTATTTCAAGTATATTAGACTATTAAAAACGATAGCAGTGGTGATAAATTAATTAAATTCATTCATTATCACAGCCTACAATTGTATATTACTTTTCATGAACGAAAAATGTTAGAAGTGTTACAAAACCCAGCAATTAGTTGTCACAAGTGTGTAAAGACAGGTTACCTGGAGCTTTTGCAAAAGCTTATCCAGTTTAGCATATTGTTTATCAAGCTCTTGAACCTATTAAAGAAAGCCACAATAACATTCAACAAGATGAAAAACATGATTGAATATGAATGTTAGGTCTATCCTAAGCTAAGGAAAAGAAAGAAATAATGAAAGAGAAGCTGATTAATGCTTTTATTACAAATATACACAGATAAGCACCTTTTTGAAGAAACCATCCAAGCCCAGGTCTCCTGAATTCATTGCATATTCTCCTAACTCAACATCACCACCTCTGTGACCTTGACCACGTGGAATGTCAAACGATTCCTGCAAAAGAGGATCATCAAATTGATATATATGGCTCAGGCCTTAATGCTGAGTTGCAATCTGCATGTCCTAGGTAACTAGCTCCATGAGTTATTTTTATTCTAGCAATCAGTAGTTAGAGACAATAACACAGTATTCTACATATATCACTAAAGCACACACACCGATCTTAGATGCGTATAGAATACAAAGCATCTCAAACAGAACAAATAGTCAATTTAAAAATTATGATACAATCTCACCATAAAACATTTAACTATTAAGAACTATACTACTCTTAAGGTCTATATAGTGACCAGTAATTCCAAGACCTAACTCGGGATGGATAATGTGCATTTAAATCTTCCTTAGTGCACAGGTATTCTGTTTTTGTTCCCCAATAACATCAACGAAAGGACTGAATTCACAGCCTAATTCATTCAATGCTCTAATTGCATTCAATACAGACACTGAAAATAAAGAATTGAAAATACAGCTTCAGTAAGCTTCATGAATCATGACTAACTTTTGTAAATGCCAAAATAGGACTTCCCTATGGATTTGCTTCACTAAGCTTTGACATGAAACATTAAAGGATAGGCAGGCCTACTTGACAATTGAACAATCAAAATATCTGCAGGGCTGTGGAAGAAGACTTTAAACGCAACCACAACCTTATTTATGCATAGAACAATGCTATTATTGTGTTGACAAAATTGTTGTGTCACAAAAAGAATAGAACTCCTAAGTAGGGCCAGCGAATTGAGCTTTTCTGAGCAGGTATGCGTTCATACCAAACTGAGTACTCCTATCCAAGAAACAGATTATCCCAAAGAATTGAGTTTTCGCGAGCATCACGGAAGTGATTCTATTTCAGTGAAAGAATGTTAGATTTCTCAAATTTATTTTGTGGACTAACATTATTTAATTATGAAAATATTATTGGACTTAAATGAGAGATTATGTTTAATGGAGCTTTTGTTAGCAGTATTTCAATCATTTAAGTACTATATATATGGGTGTGCGGCTCAGTAATCAACAATTAATAGCTAAAAGAATGAGAAGCATATTGTCAGCTGATGTTAGATTAGGAGTTTATTCAATAATACAAGCTTATAGTTTATTTAAGTAGTAGGTTTTTTTTTTTTTGCAATAAGTCAGTAAAGCTATTTGATGAATAAGAAATAAAAAAGGCTTGTAATTTTTTAAAGCTAACATGTGAAAAGTTACTCCAAGAAGCATTCAGTTTATTGGAAGCTATCTGCCAATATATTTTAATTTTTTTTTTCATTTTTACTCTTAACTTTTTAAACAATTTTCCATTTTAGTCAATTAATAAATTTCAACTAGTTGTGCAATCAGTTTTACCAAACAATTATAAATCAATCAGTCAGTTAAAAACTACAAGCTTCCAACTACAAATTAGAAGTTTTCAACTAATTTTACCAAAAATCAAAGAATCAAGGAGTCACTAAGAAGTGTATTGTTATATAAACTGGAAGAAATAATTAAAAAAGAAAAAAGAGAATGATGTATTCAAAGTAAATAAAGATAGGATTGTAGGGATTTGGAAACACAAAATGTATCACTTTAAGTTGTGATTTTACAAAGATAAGTTTAACTCCCACAATTCAGTTATATGATTTTCCCTTCAAAGCACTTCTTCAGGATACAAGTACAATGCATCTTTTGAGTTACTATTTTAATTTTTACCAAAAGGAACATCCACTGTAAACCCATTCTCGGGATCTGATTACTCACTAAGCTTTATTCAATGCAAGAAGAGGCTAGTGATTTGCTAACATACACCCATCATTTATTTACTTGTTTGTTTGTTTATTGGGATTTGCTAACATACACCCACCTATCTTTCAGAAGGAGTAGTTAGTTTCACCTTTGGGTGCATATTAAAAAATAAATGTTATAACTTGTTAATATTCTTATTAAAAAATTTACATTATTAATCAGGTGCATTAAAATATATCTACTTATTTTTTAATTAGAGTGTGTATTAACTAGTATATTTTAAGAAAATCATAATTATAACTTGCTAACATACCCCTTCTAAAAAACAAATGGGTACTTATTAACAAATCCCTTATTTATTTATGTATTTATATAATTCCAGATAGTTGACATCAAGACTAATTTAATTGTCACGATGAAGGCAATATTTATTATTATTTTTTCCTTCTCATAAGATGGAACAGATCTCAACACCCAGGTGAATACAAAATATGAAACAATGGAGAAAAATCAACACTAATTCAAAAACAAAATCTGTAACTGCTCAAATTTTATGAATTTGAGAAAAGTATGAAGGGGTAAAAAGGGTAATCAATTTCTGCATCAAAGCATGAGATGCCCACCAACATCATTCACCACTTGTGCACAATTTCATTACAGCATAACTCATACAATACTAAAGTCTCAATTTTCAAATGCTGCAGACCAACAGAAAGGCAAACACAGCTAAAATCCTGACTTCCCATCATGCACAATCCTAGATCTGAAAAAACCCACCTCAAGAAACTCTCAAATTCATCAAAACAAAGAACAGAAAGCCAAAAAAAAAAAAAAAAAGCTTGAATCAACAATGGTGAAATAATGTATAAAGAAAAACAGAAAAAGAAGGTGAAGAATAGAACATTACCGTTAGAAGATCGTTCATTGTGGAAGAAAGATGAGAAATTGAAAGAGAAAAAGGAAATGTGAGGAAAAAAGGATTAAGAACTGGTAAGGGACCTGGTTGACAAGAAACCAGGCCAGAGTTTGAATCCCCACCCGGAGAGACAGAAAATGAAAACGTGTTTTTCACTTTTTTTTCTTTTTTTGTTTTCTTTTATTATCATTTTCTTTTCTTTCTTTAGTTTTGTTGTGAGAATGAAAAGTTTGGAAATCGAAACACCATCCGAGACAGATAGACAGCAAGGTTTGATCACAAATCGTCGAGGCTTTTTTTTTTTTTTTTTTTTTTTTTTTTTTTCAAAATTGAAAGTCCCGCTTCTTTACCTTTTATTTCTCTCGTTAGTAAATGTTTCTTTTTATTATGTTCCTTTGGTTTTCTATGATTTTTGTTTTTATTTTTAATTAATAGATTACAAATATGAAAATATTTTTTAATACGAAAAACAAATCCTAGGAACACAATTTGAACTATATTTTATCGTACTAAATAGCAATATTCTTAAAAATATATTAAAGTTTAAGTACATATTAAAAATATTTTTTAAAAAATAAATATTTATAATATTTTTATTTTTAATAAAATTATTACATTTTTGTGTTAAAAAATCTATTAGATTTGAATCTTCTTAAATTCAACCGTAAAAAATGATGTTAAGAAAACTGCCATCTTAATTCTGCTTAGGACTTATGATTTCTTTTAGTTTGTTTTTAAAATAATTATTATGAAAGTTAAAAAATTTCAATGAAAAAATAATTTATAATTAAATGACAACATAAAAAAATGTTTATATTTTTAATTATATTTTTAAAAACTAATTAAAATAATTAAATAAAAAATAAATTATTTTAGATATTTTTAAAAACTAATTAAAATATTTAAATAATAAATAAATTATTTTAGATAATAAGGTTAATGCTTAAATTATTTCAAATTTTTTTCAAAATATTACAAAAATAAAAATAAAAATACAGAAATGTACTCATTGCACATTTAATTATCAATGTAGACTCTTTTACTGTTTAAGTCAGAATTTGATCTTTTAGAGTCGAAATCTAACTTGCAACAATTTTTTTTTTATATTAATATTTAATTTTAAAATTTAAAATAAAAATTAAATAACAATAATTATTATTTTTTTAAAAATTAATTAAAATATTTAAATAATAAATAATTTATTTTAGATAGTAACGTTAATGCTTAAATTATTTATATTTAAAGAATAATAATCATATTTTTAAAAACTAAATAAATATCTTAAATATTATTTTATTTATTTAAATATGTAATTTTGAGTTAATATTTTTAAATATTAGTATGATAAAATATTATTTTGAATAAAAAATTTATTTTAATTAAATTAATTTTTTTTAAATTACATTATTTAATATTATAATTTTTAATACCTAAACTATGACATATATTGATACAACGTCTTCTAAAGTCAAGTTTTCTTTTTTCTTTATAACTCGTTACAACAAAAGAAATCATTGACGGGAACTAAATGCATGACCAATGTTTGGACATATCTTCCTTGTGTGATCAAGATGTGACAATAGGAACATTTTTTTGCACGATTTTGTTGTTCTCTAATGTCCATCTTTGTTCTTATCCTGCTAGACTTGGGTCAACCTTTTGAAGTTCTTTTTAATTCTAGATTTGGATACAAAGTTGAGCCCGTGTAAGTTAGCCAATATTCTTCATGTCTGAGTTCTCCAAACTGACCTTCGTATACCTTAGAAACTTGTTGTAAGATATACATGGGAGATATGTAGATGTTAAAGTTGTAGTGTTCGTGTAAGCATAAAGCAAGTACATGCGAGCATGAAATGTGAACTTTTTAGAACTTGCCACAATCACACCATATTTCATCTAACCATATTATAAATCTCCCTACAGGTCAAACTTGTCTCAAATGTTGTATTTCTTCGACTAAAAATCTAGTGCTTGTTCTGTCAAAGGTGATGACTGTATGAGTGTTCACCTTTGACTGTGCATTTTGAATTGCTTTAGTTACAACCTTCGAGTACACATGTCTAGTATTAATCATTGTATCTACTTCCCTGCCTCTCTCAATGAAGAACTTGTTGCAACGGGTCTATGTCGTCATGACCATGGAGTAAATTAGCAGGTTTCTGATTTTTTTTCAAGACCAAATTGATTGACTCTTCTAGGTTTGTTGTCATGTCCCCAGCGTCGTCCATTGCCCCATGTTAGCGTTCATTTTTCCCTTATGATGTTATCTAACTATTGTGCAGCTTCAGGATTATGATTTTTTACTATGTTGTAATAGTAAAAGAATCTCGGTTTAGTTATCCTATTGCTGGAAAAAAGATTACAAATTTAGTTAATATAACTAGCTAAGCAAGTGTATAAAATATTAATAATAATATAGAGTACATAAAAAATTAAAATTGTCTATATTGACGACATCTTTCTTAAGTGCAGCTATTTTGAATCGTCGCATAAAGTTTTGTACAATGTGTCCAATGCAATAAATATGGATAGAATTGTTTTCCGTCCAACCACTTCCATTTATGGAGTATGCACTTCTTATGGCCTCGTGATGATTTGAAGTGAGGCACAACCTCTCTTGCACAACTGCCACCAATAAAGTCTCTTTGTATTTGCCGTACAAAAATATTTCATCCACTTAAACAATTGGTTTGCAGAAGGCAAAACCATCAATGCAGAGCTTGAATGTGCAAAACAACCTCTTGAAGAACACATCTCCCTCGTCCAACAAGCCACCCTGGTATGCTGGTTGTGTACTTAATTTTCAAATGAAACTTGAAAGATACAGTTGCATTGCTTGCAACATACAAGGTAACTTGTGGTATGACTCCTTCTAATTTTCAAAGATATTTTCAATGGCATGTTGTTTCCCCAGCCATTCCTTTCTGTAGCTGATTGTGTAACCTATCGTGGACTTTATGTGAGCTATGATGGTTGCCATGGGTGTGAATGGATCAGCCTCAATAATTTCACGAATGGTTTGAGAAATCATTTGTGATCCCAACTTGTTATGATCCTATGAAATGAGTGGGAAAACACATGTGTGGGACCCTTCAAGCTTCATTATTTTCCAGTGTTACTTTTTGGTGCGCAATATAG